AGAGGGGCAGGGTCACCTCCCTCATTGTGCTGGTCATGCATCTTATGATGCAGCTCAGGATATGGTCGGCTTTCTGGGCTGCAGGGGCACATTGTTGGCTCATGGTTCAGGTTCCTATCCATGAGTACCGCAAGTCCTTTTTGCCAGGGCTGTGCTCCATCCTTACATCCGCTAGTTTGTATTCGAGTGGAGGCTGTCACGACCCAGATGTAAAACCCTGCACTTGGATTTGTTGAACCTCGTGAAGTTCACATGGGTCCAGTGCATGAGCCTGTCTAGATCCCTGTGAACAGCATCCCATCCCAATGGCATGTTGAGCACGCCGCACAGATTGGCGTCATCTGCAAATTTGCTGATGGTGCACTTGATCCCACTGCCGATCTTATTGGCGAAGATGTTAAAGAGCTTCAGTCCCATTACTCACCAATCTCTATCTGGACATAGAGCCGTTGACCACCACTCTCTGGGTATGAGGCCTTCAGGTACTTCCAAACTATTAGCACTGCAGGGAAAGATCATAATTTGATTTTGTTTCATGATCTCAGAAACGAACTGAACTGAACTAACTGAAAGCAATCCAGTAGTGTTTGGATATGATCTCTATTATCTTGTTACCTCTAACAACCTACATATACCAACCAGAAATCCTCACCTCTAGTTGTTATACCAGAACAGATGGAGAAAGTTGCTCAACAAGTTGGCTTTGCTTTGCTTGGTAGAGTTTCTTAGTGAAACAGTTATATGTGAAGCAGTGATTGATTCAGTACCTTGTGCTCAATCATTTCTGGTTTTGATAGTTTCTCTTCTCTTTTTTTTTTTTTCCTAGGGTGCTGATATTAAACTCTGGGAAGTCAAAGAAAGTGTATAATTACTTGGTATTACTTAAAATGCGTATTTCTCTTTATACTGTGTTACAGGATGGAATCTACTGTAGCTATTCAGTCTGTATAATTAATAGCTTTTTGCCTGTTTTGATGTGTATATACACATCTGTGTATCACTTAAAACAGACACCTGTTTTAAAAGTGTAAGTTTGATCATTTTCTCTTACTAGATGGAGTTAGCCAATTTTATAACACACCCTGGAACTTATTCTGCATAATTTAGAAAAATGTTACATGCAGTAAAGACAGGCACACACAGAATGCCGAGACAGGCTTGGGCCTCCTGGTGCCAAAATTTGCTTGGGTTGGTTGAGGTACTCAGTTAGTTGAAGTTCCTCAGATGGAGATTCAAGAAAGTTGGAAAATGGTCTGATATACAAGGTATGTGAGTTATGCATTTATTAAGGTCAGGAATTCTCAGTCTCTCTTCCTGGCTCTGTATCCAAGAGAGGAGTGAGAAGGAGGGATAGAACTAGGGAACCCATTCTGTTCCACTCTTTGGAGAAGGGCATACCTGCTTTTTAGGAACTAGGCACAGTGTTGTGTGATAGTTGTTGGTACAAAGTAGCCAAGTTTCATACTAAGTCCTCCTTTCAACACCAAATTTAAAGCAGGACTGTGAAGAGGAACATTTTTAAAAGGAGTCTTACGGTCAACTTTTAATTTTGGAAGATGTTCTGTTACCTTTCTAATGGCCTTGTTACAAGGGGAGGAGTAAGAAGCTGACTGGTGCCATCAGGCATGGGCACACTGGAACGTGCTCCAGCACAGCATAAGGTGGTGTGTACTGGTCCCCAGGCTGATCCCATGCATCTTGTGTTTCATCAGACACGTTTTGAAGATGGTAGCCTTCAAAAAAACTTATAAGAAGGTCAGATATGGGGCTTTTTCTTTCTTTTTTTTTTTTTTTTTTTTTTTTTTTTTTTTTTTTTTTTTTTTTTTAGTGGCTTTTCTTGAACTAGGAGAGTTGTTTGTGAAAGAAGCGTATGTTGCAGATGTCTGTTATTCATCACTTTTTCTGCCATTCTTTTTCTTCAGAGTCCCCTCCTGCTGTCTTTGGCAGGGTAAAACCTCAAGGTTTGGCACTAGCAGGAGGTTGATGATGTGGCAGTCACTCATCAAAAAGATGTCGGGTTGCAGGGCAGCAGCTCTGTATCTGCCTCTAGAGGGAAGAGGAGGAATTGTGTCTGTATCCTAGGGAATGAATTGAGTTGAAAAATCTGTGGGATTATTTTACTCTTCCCCCACCAGTGTGTTATTATTTAATTGCTCTCCATTTTCTCAGGAATTTTGGAGGGGGCAGATGGGGGGAGGAAAGATCTATTTAAAACTGCTCTCTTCTTTGATTCATATTTTGTTCATGATGTATTTTTATCAGCAGTACTTTGCGATCCAGCTGCCACTTCTAAATGTCACTTACTTGAATAAAAAATGTAATTACATTTTTAAGAGTGACATAAGCACTGAAAGTAGTATCTGAATCACAAAGTGCTGTTTGTACAGCAGCTTTCCCATGACAGGAGGGGAAGTTTATGAAGTCCAGAGTACGCTGTAATAAAAGTGTAGTGAAGACAGTCAAAATCACATGTCTGTAGGGTTTCCCATCTCTTATTAGGCTTTATGTTAGGGAAATTTCTACTTACAAATCCACAAAGAATGTAAAAATGTGTGAACAGTATTTAATTACTGCTTGTTTTCTGACGAGAATTCATGTTGTTTTTTTTTAATTGAAATGGGTAAGCCAGTGCTTCCCAGCACTCCTTGGAGAATAGTTGCTCATGTTCCTGCTCACCCTGAGCATTGAAATGGATTTTCTTGGACTTCAGTGTGTTCTCTTTGCAAGATTAATGCCATCAAAAACTTTTACAAGAGGTTGTTTGATTTAACAAAAGAGCTCATGCTAATGCAATTCTCTCAGATTTCTGCCTGTAGAAGAAGTTAAGGAAGAAAAGTTGAGTACTGTCCAGCTGTTCGCATCCATCTCTTGGTACCCAATAAAATGACATGTGCCAGTTGAACAGACAGACCAGTTCTCACTTCTTTTTTAGTACCTGTTTATTCAAAAAAGGAGCTGTGTGATCATTTAAGTAATCAAATTGAAGGTTATTGTGCCTTTCTTTAGGTACCTTGTGTTTAAACAGCTGTTAACAAATTCTGTTTGAATTATCATAGAATGACTTAGATTGGAAGGGACGTCAATGATCATCAAGTTCAAGTCTCCCTGTCACAGGCATCATTGGTTTGCTAGCCAAACCAGTAATCATAGGTTTTTGTACAACAGTGAGTGCAAGTCCAAAGCATCCACTGATGGAGAAGGCTGAGTGATATTTGTAAGCCTATAAATTCTGTTCTAGTTAGCAAGAGGTTCAGGTATTTACAATTGAAAGAGGTTTTTCAATGCTGACTTTTTATTCTAAAGAAAAGAAAGAGTAGATTGCTGTGCACAACAGGTGTGTTGTCTTCTACTCATGCTTAGTTTTTGTTCTGTTGGTAGCAATTTAGGTGACTGTTGTGAAGGCTTCTATTGATTTTTTTCATCTGCAGTGTGATGTAGGTGGGATTGTCCCAGTGTTCGCAAGATCTGTGATATTTTTGAACTGCGCAGGTGATGCTTTGCTGTCTGTTACTTGGGACCAGCAACAAACTTTTCCCTCAGATTTTGGTTTCTTTGTTGTGTCTTTTCCTACTCAGCATGCGCTGGCGTAACCCTGGGTCATGCCAGCTCAGCATCTGTTAGTGCAGCATATGAGCAGAAGGTAACTGGTCTGTCTTGCGTGACAGGCATTCACAGCAGCACAGATTTTGTGTAAGAGGAACTAGTACCCCCAAACTCCTCCTATTTACCTCTTCAAAGTTTATTAACTCTCTTACATTTACAGCTATTAACTTGCCTTGTTCGTGGGAGAGACCAGTTACGAGTCTTGCTTCCAGACAGCTTACGTAGGACATCCTGTAATAAAACTTCTTCAAACAACTGAATATCAGGAAAGACTAAATATCAGCAGTGCTTTCTATGTATGCAACAATGCTCATAAAAATGCATGTGTGGCTGTTTATCTCGTTACCAAGGTTTGAATCCATGCACAGATCTGCCTGGATAGCTGTTGACAGGGCATGGAAAACCTTTAGAGTCAGAAGGAGCAAAAGTTCAGCTGGCATAAATCTATGGTGAATGAATTACTCCTGTCATGGACTCTCTAGGGAGGGATCTTTTCATCTTCTCTGGAGATGCCTTTTAAAAAAATGAAGTTTTTTAAAAATTTTGTAGTAAGTCAATTAAGAAGTTAATAGAGCAGCTGTTGGTTGTAAACTCTGGGAATTTCATATTCTCAAATTTCAGTCAGAGGATATGTTTCTCACTTAGGGAGCAAACACTGCAGTCATCAGCTCTTCAGCCTCTGTACGCCTCTCAATTCTAGATTTTCTGATTAGTAGGAGACTGCCAAACCCATCTCTAACCTTCCCAGTAGTACCAGGAGAGCAAAGCAAGCTTGTCCTGGCTTATGTTTGTGAAGAACACAGTCCCTTCGTTGATCATCTGCTGAGCTTTATACCAAATCTCTTGAGGAGCAGATTTCTCCTGAGTCTCACGTTGAGCCTAAACTTGTCCAAGTTGAGCCAGGAACATTCCTTTATTTCCTGTGGCATTCACATGGTGTATAGTTAGCTATGATCTTATAGTTAGCTATTACCTTATATGGTGCATTTGCAGACTAAACTCCCAACAGCTTCCTGTCTTTAAAACCTTGATTTAATGGCAAAGTAATGGCTGTATGGGTCTATGGACCAGCGTATCCTGCAGCAATTCTTGTTGTCACTGGACAGTTGCTTTGATATTAGTCTTCTTGTGAAGAACTCCATTGACTGTATGTAGCCTTCATTGTGTGGACAAAAAGCTTGGAAACATAAGTGACATACAGCCCAAAGCTCAGACACTTCAAAAATCAAGTGAGTCACTAAGTATAGTGCTCCTTTTGCATTTCATGTTGTGTGTTTTATTTGCAGTGGTATTGCACTTGGATGATTTAAAAAAAAAAAAAAAAAGAAAAAGAAAAAAAAAGTGCAACTAAGTATTGCAAAAGAGTGAAAAGATTTTTCTTTTTATCACTATTTCAGGAAGTCATGAGGTGCAGTCCTGGACAAGAGCTACCAAGCAATCCTTGTGTCTCGTGTGGCAAAAAGTGAAACTACAGCTAATGCTAAGCATGTCTTTCCTTGCTGCTGTCTTTTGGTATTGCAGAAGGCTGTACAGCTTTTTAGCACAGCTACTGACACGGTAGGTTTCAATTCAAATGGTAGTTTGCAGACTTTTAATTTTCAATACTGTTGCTTATTTTGGTAAATATTTTCCTTTGATAACTTCTCTTTGATACCTGTTTTATCATTTGGATTTCAGGTGGAGCAGCTACCTTCAAAGAAAGCTCATAAGTAATCTTTTGCTGTCATTCTGTGTTCATTAATCCCCACCCTGCCCTTTAAATGCAGAACAGTGGAAGGTAACTAATCTGCAAATTAATCTTGATTTAGAGAATTGCAGCGTGTTGGAAGAAGTTGATCTTCTTGCTTATAGTGCAAGAGAATGGAGAGAAGAAACAAAGCAGGCCAAACACATGAGGGAGGTAAGAGTTGATTTCTGCATGAGGATGTGGGAGAACTACCTGAGAAGAGCAGTTCCAGTGCAAGCAGCTGCTACAGCTCCCAGAGCTTGCTGCTTAAATGAGAAATGGACAGCATTACCGTGCATTAAGGCTGCAGTTGCAATCTAGATTAGATTTTAGTCTTGCATCTTTTCTAAGTTCATCTCCATGGTTCAAGACACCCAGGCAGTAGTTCTGCGTGCTCTGGATGACTTTCATTACAACAGTGGAAAAATATCACCCTGAGTGGTGCAGCCCAAATAGCCTGGTTGTAGGCAATGTTTCTTGTATCTTTAAGCTGCCAGCTGCAATCATCTTAATAATCATACATCTGTCAGGCTTTCAGTTCTGGATGGCTGAACTCTTGAGCTGGGGATCTATTCAGTTCACGGTTCAGTAATGTTAGATAGCTGCCTTCTGTCTGCTTATGTGTTTTTCAGTTGTGTATGTTGTGTGCATGTGCTTATACCCCTAGCAGGCAGAAAGGGCAGCTGCAAGTTCTCACAAATACCTAAGTTATTGCATGTGCAGAGGGCTGTTAGCAGTTGTGTCTTGGTAGCTGCTGAGAGAGGTAGTGCAGCAGAAGACTTGGCAGGTATGGCATAGTGCTCTGAAGGGCCTGACAGGTGTTGGCCATTATTCTAACTTGTGATGGGGTTGGGCCTCAAGTGATGAAGAAGAGCAGATATCTCTTTTTATAGCTCTCTGTTTCAACTATGTGAAGTTGACCAAGGGACCAAGGGAGTCTCAGAAACCAGGGGCTGGATCTCTACTTTTCCTATACAATTTCTAGCTAAAGTAGCTATCCTGGTGCTACAGTAGTAGTATCTGTTAAAGTTTAGTGTCAAATCCAGTTAATCGACTGTGACTTTACATCCTAGTATCCTGCTGTGAAATTTAAGACTAACATGGGACAAATGCAACACCAGTCTGTATTTCTGATTATGAGAGAGAGAGAGGGCAGGGAGAGCAGCAGTAATGAGATTGACTGGCTATCTGCACTGGACAATAACTGTGGGGATGAAATTCAGGATGCTGTCATCAGCTGTACTGTGGAAGTTTTCCAGGAAGCCTTTAAGAGAGGAAGTAACCCTTACCTTGGTCCTGAGTAGCGTACAGAATCTGCCTCAAAATACTGTTTTCTAATTTCATTTCTGTAGAGCAGGGGACAGTGTGTACTTGTATTCAACATCCTTACAAGACCAACAAATCAAAAGAATCATTACAATTGCATTCACCTTCAGAAAGGAAAGAGCATAAAAAGGAGGAAGCCTGTTAAAAAGAACCTAAAAGGCTGCTAAGAAACTAAGTATGGTTAGTGTATTTGGCATATTGTTTTAGGTCATGGCAGTGGAGTCACAGAGCAAACGTGTACAAAGGACTTAAAGTGTAGAAGAAAGCTGGTAGGGATAAATAGCTCCAGAAAGGAGTTATTCAAAAAAAAAAGAAGAGCTCTTTCAAAAACCTGGAGCCATGTCCAAATGGTAAATGGATAAAAGAGCCAACTTTTCCAGATTAAATGCAGAAAAACAACAACACCAGAAGTGCCCAGAACACATAGCAAGGCTGAAGGTGATCTGGAGGAACAAGTAATTAACTAAAGATAGCACAACCTCTAATAGATTTGCAAATAAGTATCAAGCAGTGGGTCTTTCAGAAGGTCCTCCAGTGTGTTAGATGATGAGAGCTGAAAAGGAGGCTCAAGGGAGTCTAGTGAATAGATGGTTATAATGGGTTGAGGTCATCACAGCAATTTAGAGTGAGGTCTCACAAGAACCTAAACCAGCCTCATCTACTTGCTGTCACCAAAAAGGAAGTCCTTTGCTTGTTTCATTGCTTCGTTTTCCTCACTTTGTTGGTTCTTATATGTTCTGCTGGATGTGGTTTGCTGATACATCTGGTCATCCTGAAAGAAGAGGCCTTGACTCCCTGCTCTCATCTGCTCCTGGCACGTTCCCAGGACACATCTTGTGCTGGCCCTGACATTCATCTAGTCCTTTGAGCCTCCTGAACTCCTCAAAACAGCAGGAAGAATTCAGTAGGCTTATACTTATAGCTGATGCAAAGGAAGAGTCAGGGAAACTACACAGCCAAGAAGGTAGTGGCTGCAGTTGTCCCCACTCTTCCTCAGTCTTAGGTCATTGTTGCATAGTAGATTCAGGTGTAAGATGATGTTTCTGCTAAAAGGAGCTTTTTCCAGATATGTTTTTCCTGCCCTCTTGCTGCTCCATCCCATGCGCCGGTGTAACTTGTGAAGTGATGAGGGTTAAAGCTGTTATGGCAAAATTCTTACTGATCTTTTCTGATTTGGTTGATCCTGCAAATGTTTATGATAGCAACAGTGCAAAGTCTGGAGCAAGTAGCCAAGTTTAGAAAGAGCAAAGAGTCCTTCTTAAGGAGCAGTACCAGTTTTGTTTACATAAACATGTTAAATCATTTTTGTGTATATAAAGCTTATAAATATACTCCCTCTTTTCCCTAGTTCTCTGTTACAAGTAGTTGGAGTCAGACTCCAGTTTAATGCAAGTTTGATCCAAGTTTTTAACTGCTTATTGCTAAATTTCTATTTGCTCTTTTTTAGGCATACAGAGAATTATTTCAGAACTATCATATCAAATATCTGCGGCAGGTCAAGAAGGACAACTATTGCCTCCTAAGAGCAGTGCTTTTTCAGATATTCAGCCAAGGCATTCCTTTTCCATCGTGGATGAGGGAGAGAGATATATTAAAGGTAAAATTCAGTTCCTAAATGGATGTGATCCAGATGCCCTTGCGCTGCAGAAGGAATTCACAGAACAGACAGCTGTCTTTGTTAAACAAGAGAAGTGATATTGCATGAGTGGGAGTAGAGAAAAATCATTATCAGAATTTAAAGAGAACTTTTTAAAACCGATTGGAACTGTGCTTCACTGAAAAAGTGTCACTGATCCAAACATAATCAAATGAACATGAGGCTTAAAGGAAAAAAAAAAGGCAGCAAGATAAACATTGCTTCCACTCTGCTATATGTTGGTCCCTTAACCCAAAAGGATGTTTGACTTCTCCTCATTCACACCCTTGCAAAATCCAGTGGCTTGTTCAAGAGCATAGCTGAAGGAAGGCATCAAGCAGGTGACCTCAGCATGTTGCTGGAGCAGAGTTCTGCCCTCAGTCCCTGGAGCTTTGTCAGGAGACAGCAGCAAGGAGGAGGGGATCTGTAACTGCTGCCTATGGGGGCACATCTGCCAGCTGGAAGGTGCCTGGAATTCTAGAAGCCTTACTGAGTTCGGATGCATCCAGCTTTTCCAGAGTATGGGTTGTGTATTTTGCTGAGAACATATTTTCTTCTA